TCCCCTAATACTATCCTCAGCCTCTGTTAATCATTGATCTGATCACACCTGCAGTTTCATCTTTTGCAGAAAGTTATGTAAGTGCAATCACACAGTGTCAAGTTTTTGTATCTAACTTCTTTCAACCACATTGTGCCATTATCAATACTTCATTCCTTTTTATCACTCAGTAGTATTCCATTGTGTGGCTACATCACAGCTTGTTTAGTCATCAGTTGATGGATATTTAGGTCAATTAAAGTTTGAGGCCATTATGAATAAAATTACTTTAAGCACCATATATGTATGAATATATATATATATATTTTTTTTTTTGACAGGCAGAGTGGACAGTGAGAGAGAGAGACAGAGAGAAAGGTCTTCCTTTTGCCGTTGGTTCACCCTCCAATGGCGCCGTGGCGCGCATCCCGCTGATCAAGCAGAGCAGGTGCTTTTCCTGGTCTCCCATGGGGTGCAGGGCCCAAGCACCTGGGCCATCCTCCACTGCACTCCCTGGCCACAGCAGAGAGCTGGCCTGGAAGAGGGGCAACCGGGACAGAATCCGGTGCCCCAACCGGGACTAGAACCTGGTGTGCCGGCGCCGCTAGGCGGAGGATTAGCCTAGTGAGCCGCGGCGCCGGCCGAATATATGTTTTTACTTGTCTTGGATCAATACCTATAAGTTGGATTGTTCGGTCATAAAGGAGATGTATGCACAGCTTTATAAAGCTTCCCATCAATGGTTGCCAGACTGCTTGCCCAAGGGGTTGTACTATTTAATACCACCACTAACAATGCATGAGAGTCCTACGTGCTCATCGTCCTAGCCACTTGGTGCTATCAATTTATTTAACACTCACCATTCTAAAACATATAAGGGGATCTCATTTTAGTTTTATTTGCATTTCCTTAAAGGCTGCTGTTCATGTCTAGTGTCTTTCTATGAAACTATTTGTCATTCATATTTCTTGTTTGGTAAAGGGCTTGGTTAAATCTCTTATTTATCATATTGTACTTTAAGTTATTTGTATATTTTGTATATAATTTCATAAGTAGATACCAGTATTTTACTTCACTCTATAGTTTGTCTCTTAGTTTTCTCAACAATGTCATCATATCTTTTGAAGAGAAGTTTTTCATTTTGATGAAGTCCAACATATCAATGTTTTCTGCTTGACACATTTTTTGTTTCTTATCTAAGAAATCTTTTTTTAAAGCCTGTATTTAATGAATGCAAATTTCACAGGTACAACTTTAGGAATATAGTGGTTCTTCCCCCATACTCACCCTCCCACCCCCACTCCTGTCCTACCTCCTACTCCCTCTCCCATGCCATTCTTCATTAAGGTTCATTTTTAGTTTCATTTTATATACAGAAGACCAACTCTATATTAAGTAAAGATTTCAACAGTTTTCACCCACCCACCCACACACACACACACACACATTCTTTGAGAACAAGTTTTGCAGTTAATTCTCACAGAATAACTAATTAAGGACAGAGGTCCCACATGGGGAGTAAGTGCACAGTGACTTCTGTTGTTAATTGAACAATTAACACTCTTATGTATGACCTCAGTGATTACCTGAGGCTCTTGCCATGAGCTGCAAAGGCTAAAGAAGTCTTTTGTGACCACAAACTCCGTCAGTATTTGAACAAGGCCATAAGCAAATTGGAAGTTCTCTCCTCTCTTCAGAGAAAAGTACATCTTTCTTTGATGGCCCCTTCTTTCCACTGGGGTCTCACTCACAGAGATCCTTATGTAGAATATGTTTTGCTACATTGTCTTGGCTTTCCATGCCTGAAATGCTCTCGTGGGCTTTTCAACCAAATCTGAATGTCTTAAGGGCTGATTCTGAGGTCAGAGTGTTACTTATAGTGATTGTCATTCTGTAAGTCTACTGTGTGGACTGCTTCCCATGTTGGACATTCCCTCACTTTTAATTCTATTATTATTACTAGGCAATTGATGCTATTTATATGATCTCTTTAACACTTAATCTTATCTATATGTTCACTTTAACACTTAATATGATCACTTTAACAATTATGATGGCATTTTTACCACCAATTTTAATGGGATTTGGAGTCCCATGACAAGTTTTTAAACTGTACCCTTAGAAGTAAGTCCATAAGAATGAATGCAGAACTATACAGCTTTACGGTTGCAAACTTCCTCCTCCCTCTCTTATTCTCCCTCTTATTTTTTACTGGGATCTATTTTTCAATTGACTTTATATACATATGATTAACTCTAAGTTAAGTAAAGAGTCAACATATAGTATGAAGAGAAAAGAAAAAAAAAAAAACTATTCCTCAACAGTAAAGATGAGGGCTCTTCAAGTCATTTCTCAAAGTATCAATTTCATTTCAACAAATTTCGTTTTAGGAATGCTATTAATTCTCACAGATCAGGGAGAACATATAGCGTTTCTCCCTTTAGGACTAGCTTATTTCTCTAAGTATAATGTTTTCCAGATTGATCCATTTTGTTGCAAATGACTGGATTTCTTTTTTTTTGACTGCTGTGTAGTATTTCATAGTGTACATATCCCATAATTTCTTTATTCAATCTTTGGTTGATGAGCATTTAGGTTGACTCCATGTCTTAACTACCATGAATTGAGCTGCAATAAAAATGGAGGTGCAGATAGCTCTTTTGTTTACAGATTTCATTTCCCTTGGGTAAATTCCCAGTAGTGGGATGGCTGGGTCATATGGTAGGTCTATACTCAGATTTTTGAGCTATCTCCATACTGTCTTCCATTGTGGCTTTACCAGTTTACATTCCCACCAACAGTGGATTAGGGTACCCTTTTCCCCACATCCTCTCTGGCATTAGTCGTTTGTTGATTTCTGTATGAGAGCCATCCTAACTGGGGTGAGGTAAAACCTCATTGTGGTTTTGATTCGCATTTCCCTGACAGCTAGTGCTCCTGAGCATTTTTTCATGTTTCTGTTGGCCATTTGGATTCTAAGAAATCTTTACCTAACACAAACTCAAATAGATTTCTTATTAAATTTCATTCTAGGCATTTTATAGTTTAAGTTTATATTTATTTATCTAATTCATCTGGGTTAATTTTTGAATTTTGTATAAGGGAGCAGTCAGTGTTCTTTTAAAATACATTATGTGGGGCTGATGCTGGTGTAGCAGTGAAGCAGGTGAAGCCACGGCCTACAGTGCCGGCGTACCATATGGGCGTCAATTCAAGTCCCGGCTGCTCCACTTCCGATCTAGCTTTCTGCTATGGCCTGGGAAAGCAGTAGAAGATGGCCCAAGTCCTTGGGCCCCTGAACCTGCATGGGAGACTGGAAAGAGGCTCCTGGCTCCTGGCTCCTGGCTTCGGATTGGCACAGCTCCAGCTATTGTGGTCATCTGGGAAGTTAAGCAGTGGATGGAAGACCTCTCTCTCTCTCTTTGTCTCTGCCTTTCAAATAAATAAATAAATATTTAAAAATACATATATATTATGCTTAGAATTATACATTTATATATTGTATTTGTATACATTTTGCAAATAGATTCCAACTTTTCCAGCACTCTTTGTTGTCTTTCTCTATGTTATTGCTCCTGTAACTTTATTAAAAACTCACTATAAAGGTGCAGGTCTATTTCTGGACTTTATTCTGTTGTACTGATCAATATGTCTATTATTCTTTCACCAATTTTGCAATCTAGATTATTATAGGTCTTTAATTACTGAAATAAAAGCCTAAGGGCTCAAATTCTGTACTTTAAAAAGATTATTTTTTGGCTACCCTGGGGTCTGTCTTGTCTCTGTACATTTAAAAAACAACTTGCCATTTTCAATTTTTTAAAAGAGTCTTTCAGGATTTTGATGAGGATTGTGGTGGTTCTAGAGGATTAACATCTTAGCAGTATTAAGACTTCCAATGAATTAACACTATGTTTCATGAGTCTTCAAAAAGTTAATAGGAAATTAATATTGTGAAAAAACTATATGCAGATTTCAAAAATTCTATTCTATAATAAAGTTAACTTCTTAACTTCATTTTCCATAAACTTTTTGAAGTACTTTTGTTATTTATAATTTATTTAGATATAGTTAAATTCCTGAATATAGAGTACTATAAAGTACCAAAAAATTTTTGGATTTTTTTCATTGAAATCCCACTAAATACAACTTTATAAATCATGATAAATATATCTCCTTTCTCTATATGACCACAGTTTTTATTATGCTTCCTGTATAAAATCACCAAAACATTTGTTAGTGGTATATACAAACAAGAATATTTATTATCTTAGTATCTCTATAAGACGTTAATCCTGTAGTAAGTCTGGAGCCAACTAATGCAGGAAATATCACATACAATATGCACCCTTCAGATTTTTATTTGTAGAGGTCATTGACTTAATTGGACATTATAAATACGCTAGTATTATTTATTTTGCTTCCTTGTTATTTATATATCATAAGATCTACTTTAATATAAGAGGTTGATTTGTACACTTTCCTCATTATCTTATTTTCTTAGCAGTATAATTTTGCTGGTTGGATATAATAATTTATAAAGCTTTCCCTATATTTCCATGTCCTGGGGAAACAGAAACCAAAGAGTAGATCATTCTCTTAGGTATTTAAAAAGATTCAGCATACACATGAAATATGACACTTTATATCAAGAGCACTAACAATAATTTTCTTCATTGCATTTTAATTTTTTGCATATTTTCATTGCTTTTTACAAACTTTTTTTCATATTTCCTGCTATTCAAGTATTTTTGACAAGTACATATAATTGGTGAGGTTAAATATAAAATGGTATAGGTGAAACTGATGCTTAATTTTTAATATTAACCAGTTACTTTACTGCTCAAGTTTTAAGCATTTAACTCACATCCCTTGGAAATATGGGACTCTGAAATAAATGGGACACCAATAAGACTGGCTGGTACAGGGTGTGGGAATATGAAATGATAACCAATATATTCAGACCAGGCAGTCTCCCAGCTCTGACAAATTGCAGAGAGCAATGAGAAGGTGATACTCACATCAGAGTTGAAGCGAAGCTGGCAGACATTACAAGAGATAACTTGCTTCTTCTTTGGGGGAATGGACACTCCAAACGTGTGGTTAATGACTGCCTTTTGCACTGGATCCATCTGTAAGGCAAATGATAAAACAGTCAGTTTACAATCTCACAGGGTAACCATGCGAGCAAATCAAAGGAACTGGCTATATTATTCCTTATGGTTTTCACTTCTAGTTCCCAAGGAAAATCAGAAAGTATCTCAGTCAATAGTAATGTACTTATCTCCAGGAATTAAAAGAAAAAACCAAAAAACTGGTTTTGAATTACACACACACACACACACACACACAGATATAAACTCATGACCACAAGAGAACCACCGTGTCCCAAGTAATCATTTATCTACAAAACGAGCTTTGAAAAACCTTAAAAGAAACATAAAACAAGAAAAATTAAGAACCAAAATTCAGGGTTAAAATTAACTTGTTAATGTTTTCCCTGTTTGAGGTGACAACACTTACAATGATCTCAAATGACCTAAAGGACAATTATTATAAATATATTTAGGTTTCTTAACTTCTGATTTAAAGCAAAGTCACAAATGATAGGTTCTTACTGTAACATAGACAATTTTGATCTTTACTTTAAAACAATCTAATAACTTTCAGCTACTATAGACGGAAATCCATTCTGCTGGAAATGCATGTCACATTTGTGCACTCAAACGCCTATCACAGATTGGCTGATATGCAACGCTTGCTTAAATATTGATCAAGTAAAGTTTGATCTACAGCCTGTGATTCCCCTCCCCCTTTTAGCTTGTGTGTTTCATGCATATTCAGAGAAACATCGACTTTCATCATTGAATGATGAAAATACTCAACCACAGGAGAAGTACAGAACAAAGCCATTACAATACTCAGAAAAAGAAACACCTGGGTCTGCATGCAGAGACTGTAAAAACAGACCCAGCGCTGGTTCTCTTGTGTACTCCAGATAATAATCTCCTGCATTAGTATCAGACAACTGGCCGTTCAGAACACAACACAGGCAAGGAACGAAGCATTACTCAGAAACAGATGTAATACGAATGAGGACAGGTCCAGTGACACCATCATCCAGGAAATCTCCTGAGTTTAGGGTTTAGCATTAGTTTAGAGTTTTGGATTAGGTGATGATATTTGATCGAGAGGAAAAACAAATACTATCCTTGATCTTGATTAGAATTCAACAATGTGCAAAACTAGCAGTTACAAGAGCGTAAATATGTTGAAAGGAGGCTGAAGAGTTACTGAATAGAAAATTAGCCTAGTTTTGTTTCAAGTTTATTCCCGCTATAAAAAAACAGTTACTGTGTTTTGAGACACTTAATCATTCAAAGAGGGGAGATTTCAGGAGTAGTAGATTCTTTAATATCTTGAATATAGTGATGGCTATGCAAATTTATTACATGTTAAAACTGATGGAATTACATAGATCCCTAAGAAGTCAGTTTATGTGTGATGACTTAAAAAGTAAAAGTTGTTCAGAGTATTAGGTTTAACAACTAAAAAAAAATATCATTACTATAAAAGTGGGAGATACATTTTGTTCAAAGTTACAACTGTTTGTATTAAATTTTGTTTAATGAGAACAATAATGAAAAAGAAACCCTCTATGGGACACAGAAAATCTCAAAAGATCAGAGAACAAGACCCTAGTTTACTTTCTTATTTTATTCACAATTACATACACTTTAATCTCACCCATTCATTTGTAAAATATTAGACCATGATGGTTACTAGAGTAAGCCAATTTGGGAAGACTTAAAAACAAGACAGATTACACAGACAGGATAACAACAACCACAATGTTTTGCAAAATTAAAAAAAAAGCATTTTATTGAGTTATTTTCTGCTCTTAGGCTCTGAAAGATACTTTCTGTCTAGTGATGCATGACCTAAATGGGATAAAATCAAGTGAACACTTTGCCAAAACCAGCTTTTGCATATCACTATCATTATTTTCCCATTCTGTATACTAATGACTTTTCTTTAAATAAAATTAAAACTAGTTTTAGAAAAATGAATACCATTTGAAAATCTTATTTTAATGTATATTCTCAGTACTCATTTTAAAAATACATTGAAAATAAACATTAAAAATTAAAACTTTCAATCACTTAAAATAAATATGCATGTCCTGATTGTTCCCACATTACAATATAGGAACAGGCAAAGGATGGATTTAAAACAAATCTCATTCCAAATTTTTAGTGAACCAAGATATCTGTATTTTTTGAAGATTTATTTATTTATTTGAAAGGCAGAGTTAGAGAGAGAGAAGGAGAGAGAGAGAGAGGAGAAGGAAAGAGAGAGAGAGAAACCTTCCATCTGCTGATTCACTCCTCAAATGGCAGCTATGAGCGGCATTGCTGGAATGAAGGCAAAAGCCAGGAGCTTCAATCTGGAGCTTTTGTGTGAGTGCAGGAGCCCTAGTACTTGGGCCATTGTCTGCTGCTTTCTCAAGCACATCAGCAGGGAGCTGGATTGGAAGTGAAGCAGTCCGGACTTGAACCGGCACCCAGTTTGGTGGGCCAGCTTAACCCACCATGCCACAACACTGGCCAACCGAGCTATCTATGTATAACTCCAACCCCATCCTTGAATATAAATGTTCCCTTTAAATTTATGAAATTTTAGCTGCCCACATAATTTCTCAAGTAACTACTGACACATCTCCATTCTGCTCAAATCTCACATCTGTACCACAGCATCCTACGTGTTCCCAAGTCTGAGAGTCGTGCATCCTGGAAGATGAGTTGTAGCTGAGCGCTCCAAATATGCAGGCAGGCAAGTTCCTAGCCATCTGTACTCCGAGAAGCCCCTGAGGAGGTTCCTTACCAGAGCTGGCTCTTCCAGCTTATATGGTTTTTAAAAAAGTCAACTAAATAAACACAACCTCCTGGGAACCTGTCATTAACGTCCGTTGCCTTTCCATCCTTTCAGTGACGTATCCCGAATCACATCACAGCTTGATCCCCCATGCTTCTCACTTGAAACTGGTATCCTCTGTTTTCCACTTGCTTCTCTACTTGGGAAAGTTCTATGTTTTTTTGTTTGTTTTTTTCCTGTCTAAATCTCTTACCTTCTTCTACTATTGTTTAAAATATAAATCTATAATTATATTTTCATTCAAATATCCTTTGGGAAACACGATTTAATTGAAACAAGACTTTAAATTGCATAAAAGAGAGTGTCCACTTGCCAATTTAACTTATGATGTGAAGAAACTGATGTTTTGAGTTTCTGCCATCTGGGGCAGTAACTTCAAACACCTGGGTCATTTCAGCAGCATCCAGACTTTTCAGAAACATACAGAAGCTATTCAGGTATCTCATTTTTTAAAAAATGTGTAAGGTAATAAAATTCTGGATTTTTTCTCTTAGCATTCCTATGACATTCTGTGAGATGAAAATAGTAACTTTTTCCTCCACTAGTGTGATATCAGTTCTTTGTAATGAGATATGCATAATTAAATCAATGGCAATTCTTTTACTCAATCACCAATTTTCAGACTGAATAAAACATTCAAGATGAATAAGAACATTCTCACAAGTCCTAAAACAGTGTACGTGCAAGTGTTTCAATTTAGCATATGGCAAAATATGCCTCTAGATTATGATTCTGTACGTAGAATACTCAGGTAAATAATTAGAAGAACCAATTAAACAATAAACTCACATTTTCAAAAGCTCAATTGGCACTTCATAGACATTTGATCTTCAAAAATGAACAAGTGCTTTCAATAATCACCAAAATATAAGTTTTAAATGAGAAATGCCTTGTTAAATAGTCATATTAAATTAGTGCACGTTAGTTCATGCTGCATAAAAAGCTGTGTGCAGATTGAGAAAATTATAATGCACTGGGAAATGATATTAAAGCAGCTCTTTTTTAAAGTGAAAAATGCCTACAACATAGCTCTAGCTACCAGTATTCCTTACCTGACAGAATTTATTGGTCCCAAATAAGCCTCTTCGTTTCTAAAAAAGTAAAAGTTAAAAGCAGTCATCTGAATTTCAAGACCAGCAAGCATATTTACATGAAAAATTTAAAAATCCATTTTCTTTGCTCATCTTCATGAAAGCAGCCTGAAATGCTTACTAACTAAAAATCAGGAAGACTTAACACTTGCCAGTATTTCTAATGAAAATCATGCAGAAATGAAAAGCAAACCTATTAATACAATTAATTGGTGGGTAATAAAAATGAAAGATGGGGTTGTAGCTTTTACTAGGAATCAAGGAGGGAATTGGAGGCTATGTATGGATGAATTAACTATTGTTGTAGTACAGTATTTATAAGATGAATTACGGAAGCTGGCCTTATCATGCCATTTATTATATTTTCAATATCAAAGAAGAGGGATCTCTTTGGTGAATTCATCAAAAGTATGGGAGGCACAAATTTGTGTGAATTTTTTTTAAAGATCACTATTTTCACTGGGTATAAAAAATAATTTACATTTGCACAGTGTAAGCAATCACATAAAATATACAACTGCAAAAAAAGTCAGGAGGCAGGGAAAACGCCCTGTAACACTGCTCTAAAGGTGGGATGAATCTCCTATGTGGGCTATGTGAAGAAATGGCTCGACATAAGACTAGGTTATATTTAGACTCTATACACAATTTTGCTAGGTGAAACTTAAGCAGAATTAAAAACTCTTTCACCTGTCTTAATACTTTTTAAGAGGCCTGAAATTTGAGGTACACGGTTATAAGCATATCAGAATGACTTAACTATCTACTACATAAGGCTGGGAATGAACTGAGCACCATATCATTAAAAAGCAAAAAGACTGTGCAAGAATTACACAGCACTTTCTTTTATCTGTGCTATCCTTAATGATGGGGAAATCTCACCTTAAACATGTTTTTTTAAAAACTTTTATTTAATGAATACAAACTTCATGCATTTCTTAAGTACAATTTTAGGAATTTAGTGATTCTACCCACCATGCCCACCCTCCTACCCCTACTTATCTTCTTCCTCCCTCTCCTATTCCCAGTCTTCTTTTATACTAGATCTATTTTCAATTAACTTATGCACAGAAGTTTAAGTCTACAGTAAGTAAACAGTTTATCAACTTGTATGATAAAAGAAAAAAAAAATTGTTTCTCAACAGTCGAGACAAGGGCTGTTCAAAGTCATTGCATCTCAAAGTTAATTTCACATTTTTTTTTCTTTTTTTGAGAAATTTAATAAACTTTAAAGGAGCACCCAAGAGTGATACATCTTTCGGGAGCACTTAGACATAACTGTGGCTTATGAGACACCTAAAAGAACAAGCAATGGAGTTGGATACTTTGGCCTAACTAAAATTTGTGAGACATAAATACATCTTCCACTTAATACACTAAAATGGAGTAAATCTGTTAAAACAAGTTTTATTGCTAACTCTCCACATACAACTCTGAGGGAAGAGGTCTTGCATGGGAGGTTAGTGCAGTGACTCCTGTTGTTAGTTTAACAATTAACACTCTTATGTATGACCTCAGTGATCACCTGAGGCTCACCTGAGCTACTTAGACTATGGAAGCCTTTGAATCCACAAACTCCATCAGTATTTAGACAAGGCCATCAGCAAAGTGGAAGTTCTCTCCTCACCTCAGAGAAAAGTACAACCTTCTTTGATAACCACTTCTTTCCAGTGGGGTCTCACCCATAGAGGTCCTTCATGTAGGGCCGTTTTTTCCACACTGTCTTGGCTTTCCATGCCTGAAATGCTCTCATGGGCTTTTCAACCAGACCATATTGCCTTAAGGACTGATTCTGAAGTCAGAGTGCTACTTAAAGTGATTGTCATTCTATCAGAGCCGTTGATTTTTAACACATGTTCTGCAGAGCATTTGGTAAGCATTTCTACTTACATGCAGTAGTTGGTCCTACTAGCTTTTCTAATAAACAAGCAAAAACCAAGTTACTGACTTAAAATTTAAAATCAGTCATCCAGTAAACTTTTATGGAGAACTTGTATGCTTCAAATGCAGTGCAGATTTAAACTGGGAGATGAGGCAAACACAATCAAAGACATATATTTAAAAGTTACAAAGTGGCTTGGCAAGGAAGTCACCGTTAAGCAAACTGAAGATGCGTGAGAAGGCAAAAAAGGTCTGTTTACCCCTTACCCTACATTGGGCTCTCTTCCCCTTTTCTGATTTTCTCATACTTCAAGCTCCTTTCAACAGCTGCACCAGCGTGCTATCCTCTCAGTGGTATTTGCTCTTTAATTCCTTTCTCCAGCTTTGTTAACAATAATAAACATCATAATGAGAGCAGCTTAGGTTTACTGAGTGCCAGGAACTGTGCCAAGGGATTATCTGTGTTGTCCCCACCATCACGTGAGACAGCTGTATTACCCTTGTTTTACAAGTGAGCAATCAAGGCTTTGGGAGGTTCAGTAACTTACCACCCTTGAGTTTCTAGGTGCTGGATTCAAACTCAGGCAGGTGTCTCTTTCTCTACTGGTTCTTGCTAAAAGATATTGGGTGTCATATGTGGTCTGGCTGTCACAGGGTGTGGGCTTTGGGAAGAAGGGAACAGTGTTCTAGAATTTCTACAGCCAGGAAAGCAGCTGCCTGTGCAAACTACACATACGCCCTATGTGCTGCTTAAGTAAAGTTTTCTGGAGAAGTCAGTCTGGTTTTCTTTTTCTAACCCATTGTTGCCTTTCTTATGGAAAACCCAGGTCTTCTTGTGCAGCTTCAGGAAAGTCACAGATAGGAATTTGGGCTGCCTTGCCATCATTCCTCATTAGAACTGCTGAGTTTGCACACAGAAAAAAAGTTCTATGCCTGCGTGGATACTGCACATTAGCAGGGGGCAGTCATCATTTGCACCTGTCTCAGTTTACTACAAAGAGGACCTCAGCTACTAAACCCTGGGACTTAGGGCATTCTGAAAGTTTGGTAGGGCATCAACTTTTTGTCTGTGACATTACTGAATTAAAAGGAACACAAAAGGAATAACTATTTTTCATACTTTTCTTTTTTAGAAGCAGACTTATGGAAGAGCATATGAAATGGGGTCTGATTAGAATCTCAAATATTCATGAAGTGACACGTTTAAAAGGGATAGCTGTACTATTGAAGAGCAATATTTCTCTGAGATTACTTCAAAAAGTTTTGCTTTTCATATTTAAATACTCTGACCCCATGCCTTTATGTTAATGTTTTACTTCTGTTATTGTTGAATTTTTAGGAAATAGAAACACAAGACACAACTATGACAAATTTCTTCTCAAAGATCATGGAATACAAACAATTGTATATGTTGACAACAGTAGTTCAAAAATAAACTCTGTACTATTTTCAAATCATAAGGCTCAATAAAAATAAACCACATGGAACATTACACCGGGACTGCATGCTACCGTGAGGTCTGCATTTTTGCTTCTGGAATGTGTAAAAGCTAAGACCTGCTATGCTGACACTGCCTCCCCCACCCAGAGCATCCCGACAGCGGTGCACCTGAGTGCCATCTATGCTGCTGAAAGGAAGACAAATGACACGTCACTCTCTCTCTAAAGACTGATCATGAAACCAAGGCTCAAGTATTTGGAAGGATGCTCCCCCAACCATCCCAGCTCTTTGATGAAGCCACACATTGGCCATGCCTTGCAACAACATCAACAGTGCCATCCTCCACTAGGATACAATTACCGCAGCCCAAGGTTACTCGGTCATTCAGAACTGATACGAAGGTTAAAACAATGAGACATACATACACAATTTGTGGGAAAAGAAAGACAAATCAGATTAATTCTAAGTACAGAACCAATAATTAAGCTATTAGTAGCAGTAGTACCGTATTTTATGACTTCTAAGTTTTTTGAGGCCAGCTGACTGCTACAGAGAGGTCACCTTCAACTCTATCCATTTGTTTTCTAGAGTCTCCCTAGTGGCAATCACTTTGTCCTACAGAAAATAAAAGTAGAAGGTTCCTGGACATGAGGCAGCATATTAGAGTAGAGTACAGTCTAGAAATTCATTTTGTTCTACTGCTTAAAAAAAAAAAAAAAACAATAAATTTAGAAAGATTGATTTTTCACTCAAGTTTCATGTTGATATAGGCCCTGTTTGAAAAGCTCTGGGATTCATCAAACAAGAGCTGGATATTTCACTGACAAACAGGACAACCAGGGTAAGGAGCAGACATCTTGTGATCTATTCTGAAGACCTGTTTTGAAAGAAAGACTAAGTCTGCATTTTCTAGTAGCTTTTCTGGAGAAATTTCATTTGAGTTTTGAATAATAAAAAGAAACATATGGAATGCTAAGAGATCTGCATTTCTGCCATACAATCTCTCTAGGTCACTCTGACAATCACAGATATAGTCTTTTTAGAGGATTTTATATCAACTTTAAGTACACATTTTTACCCTTGGAATCTTTTTCTTCTTTCTGACACATTCCACCATAATAAATGCATGATTTTCAATTTGTTTATATATTTATTATATTTCTCTTGAAAAATGTATTCATTAACAAAAGCATATTAAATGCCTATATATGAGGGCGAGATAGACGTGTGTAGGAAATTCATGTTATTGTTCTGTTTTTTTTGTGAAATTTTTGAAATTCTTCATATTGTCTCATAAAGTATTGGACATAAAGTAGAGAATATGCCTTCAAAAACTCAACACAGTTGGATTAGATATTAGTTAAGAAAATCACAGATAGATATGTAGTTGGTGACATCTGTGTAAACAAAGCAATAAATTAGGTATTTTCAGAGTTTTATTAATATCATTCAAAAGCAGATGAAGGATTGTAAAGAAGCAGTACTTTACCAGATAATTCGTAAAAATGGTTTGGCTTGCTTCAGCACCCACTGTGATTCAGATAAAGTACTTTTCCACAAAAATCCATGGAATATATGTAAAAACCATTTCATGACTTAGGGAAGACGATACAGAATTCAGCCTTGTACAGTGGGGAAACACTGTAGACCAAGGCAGCAGAGTCCTCGGCTTTCAAAGT